GTCCCTTGCCGGTGTCCCTGCACGGTAGAATCAATGGTCTTTACACTTTTCGGTCTTCACACGACGGCTGCCGCGGTATACTAACCTTTTTTATACCCATTTGACAAAACGGAAATTGAATTCAGCTGAACACACTTTACTGTTTATCACAACAAAGGGCTAAGCAAGCGCACGACACTGACAAGGTATGCAATACAGTCCGAGACCAAACACAACTTAAGCACGTCTCAACACAGTAAACAAAACAAGCGTTTCCTAGCAACGACAACTGCGCTAAACACTGAGACAAGAAATAAATACACTTATTGAATAGGTCTATATACATTCAATATATATTTTCAAAATATATACTGTATGTGTGTGCATTTATATATACATAATAAATATACACAGTACACACACACACATATATTCTGTAAACAAAAACTTTTATTTTGGATGCGATTAATTATTTGACAGCACTAGCCACAATAACAAAAAACCAAGACAAAAATAATATTTTTATTGCTTCAAACCATAAAGTGCCAAAAATATAATTATCTCATCAAAACCTAACGGTGCTCACCACAAACACAACCTACACCATGTCTGCTAACTAACAACAGCCCTTTATCAACCAGAGTAACACTCACGCTTTGTGCATATGATGCATTTTACATAAAAAAATGTATCATGCTTAGTGTCACTGTTAGACAAGAGGGAGGCGTATTTTATCAGCTCTGACCAATCTTTTTTTTTTTTTTTTCAGGGTGAACTGAGACCAAACGTCGACCTAGCACGTATCATCAGCGATCATGATGGCCGTCGTCTGGTCACCGGGGGTCAATGAGAACTTTCCCCATGATGAGACCCTGCAGTACCTGCTCATTCTGTGCTCCAAAGTAGCTCTGAACACGTTAGTCCTGTCTTTCTGGAGGCACAGCATTCTCAAGTCCCTGCTGGGGCTCTGCAGCGTCTCTATGTACGTGGCAGACGTGCTGCTGGTCAGTGCGGTCACCGGCGCGTGGCTCTTCAAAGAACACCTACCCACCTCCACCTCCATGTGCTTCATCCTGGCGCATGGATCGGCTGTCTACGCCCTGCTTCCTCTGCCCATACTCATCGCTGGGGCGCTTGACTACGCCAGCTACCCACACCTAGACGTTAGCTCAAGCTCTCGGCACAGGGCTGTATGTTACTGCACTGTGGTTGTGCTTCTGTGGGCATTCGCGTGCTGTTACACCTACAACTACACAGACACGCAACCTATGGAGATTTACAAAGACAACGCGAGAGTCCTGGTGTGCCGTGTTCACGGATCTACTGTAGCGTTTCAATTTAGTATGCAGATATCTATTGCAGTGGGTCTCATACTTCTGTTTTATTTTAAGACGACGATTGGTTGGATCCGAAGAGCCAATAAACTGGCAGAGCTGAGAAACACAGCATTTGCTCCAGAGAAAGATCAACACTTCCCTTACAATCAGGAGGGGGAAGGTGGAAATTCTGAAATTCAAGAAAGTTCCCCTCCTCTCTTTGTCAGTCTGACTCTAGGTTTCGCTTTGAACTGGATACCCTACCTGCTAATGTGTTTGGTGTGTGCCTTTCTGGGCTTTGTGGTGCCAGCTTATGCCAGTGTCAATCTTCTGTGGATGGCCTGTGCCAACAGTGTGCTGGTTGGCATTGCTTTTTGGTTTAGGAGTGCTGGGACTGGACCTTTAAGAAAATTACCAGATGACACTTGTTTGTGGAACATCTACTGGCACTTGAGCAAAGGAACTACACCAACTGTGCATGCAAAGCTTACTATGAGATCATACAAAATGGTTCACAAGCCTGCTGTGCCTTTTCAAGAGATCTAGCCTAAATGATATCTTGCACATCTTAATATCATTTGAGTATCTTGCAATCATACATGTTATGAGTTCAAATCTATAGCTGTTACAAACATTGTGAGCTGCTTAGTTAGAAGTTGCAATGAAACATATGTATGTATTTTGTGTGACACACTTGCCATTCAAAAGTTACGATTTTTAATATATATATTTTTTAATGGGGTCTCTTATGCTCATCAAGGCATGTTTATTTGATCAAAAATACAGAGAAAAACTGTAATATTGTGAAATATTATTGCAATTTCTTATATTGGTTTCCTATTTTAATATACTTTAAAACGTAATTTATTTCTGTGATGCAGTGTTGAATTTTCAGCATCATTACTCCAGTCTTCAGTGTCACGTGATCCTTCAGAAATCATTCTGATTTATTATCAGTGTTGAAACTCTTGTGCTGCTTGATAATTCTTTTTTTGGAACCTGTGATACTTTTTTCTTAGATTCTTTTATGAATAAAAAGAACTGCATTTATTCAAAATAGAAATCTTTTCTAACAATATAAGTCACTTGTTATCCATTTAACACATCCTTGCTGAATAAAAGTATTAATTTCTTAAAAATAAAAAATAAAAATTTACTGACCCCAAACTCTTGAATAGTTGTAACACTAAATTTCTATTTTGAATAAAAACACTGTTCTTTTTAACTTTTTATTTATCAAAGAATCCTGATAAAAGTATCACAGGTCCCAAAAAAATATTAAGCAGCACAACTGTTTCCAACACTGATAATAAATCAGCATATTATAATGATTTCTGAAGATCATTTGACACTGAAGACTGAAGCAAAGCTGAATTTTCAGCATCATTACTTCAAAGGAATAAATTACATTTTAAATTAAATTGCAATAATATTTCACACAATTACATTTTTTTCTGTATTTTTGATCAAATAGATACAGCCTTGGTGAGCATAAGAAACTTCTTTATTAAAAATCTTACTGATCCCAAACTTTTGAACAGCAGTGTACCTCTGAGTGTAACAATTATTGGGGAAAAAATGTAGGATGAAGACTTGCTTCTATCGAGTGATTGGATTTTGTTGTGGGTTTTCTCTCAAAAATGAGGGAAGGGTTGATTTAAGCAGACTAAATGATTGGATTGTCCAGCATACATCACCAAAGAAAAGTCATTTTGATTAAACATTACGATTAGGTCAAAAAATGTTTACAAAACAAAATGCACACATGGATCATTTATAGTGAGATCTATGCAACATACATACAGAATTTAGGCAGAAAAATGGTGCTACTTTCTAAGACACCTCATTTAAAATTCAAATTCTAAGCCACTATCACAAGCATAATTCACAAAGGATGCAATCCCAGAATGAAGTGCCACAAGCTAAATGAAAATAAAATTCATCCAACATACCAGATAAGTCAAGAGAAATGTTTAACATACTTAAAAAAAGCATCAATAAACATTTGACTATTTTTTGTCTCTCTGTTTTTATATATATATATATATATATATATATATCTGTGTGTTGTTTATGTTTGTAACCATTACAACTGTGTCTACTACACAAATTATTATTATTATTATTATTAATTATTTTTGGTTAAAAGTTTGAAAATTATTAATAAATTATTTGAACTGTAAAGATGCTCTTGTCAATTTTACAGTTATTTTAGGATTTTTGGTGTTATGACCACCATAGGGTCGTAACAGGTATAGTGTATAATGTTACAAAAGCTTTTTATTTCAGATAAATGCTTATCTTTGGATCTTTCTATTCATCAAAGAATTGTGTAAAAAATGTACTTAACTGTTTTAAATATTGATAATAATAATAATGATGATGATGAAATGTTTCTTGAGCAGCAAATCAGCATATTAGAATGATTTCTGAAGATCATGTGACACCGAAGAGAAAATTCAGCTTTGATCACAAAAATAAATTACATTTTAACAAACATAAATAGTAAAAATATTTCACAATATTACTGCGTTTGCTGTATTTTGGATCAAATAAATGCAGGCTTGGTGAGCAGAAGAGAATTCTTTAAAAACATTAAAAATATTACTGTTCAAAAACTTTTGACTGGTAGTGTATATCAATCATAATAAACATAATAATTGTACAATACTGTTCTATTTTAATATCTGTTATGCTCATATTACATCTATTCATTTCTCAAAACACACAAAGTATGCTTTTCCCCATAAAGTACCAATATTCCAGGCTACTGTGGTCCCGTACCAGAGATAATCAACTTGAAAGTGAGGGATAGTTATATTTTAAAAAATGCTTTTCAATTGTACTTGGATAGAAGTCTCAACCATTACCTAGTACCACCTAAAAAGCATTACGGCTGAGACTTTAATGATTCCCCCATTATAAACTGAACCTGAATATGGAACCCCGAGTAATCCTGATCATTCCATTTGGGCGTTACATTCTAAGAAACAAGAATGTGCTAAATTATGATACATTTACATGTACACTGTAAAGTGCTCTAAAGATCAGCCTTTGTGACAAGCAGCTCGGAGATACTGAGGTTTCCATTAACATAACCCAAATGACACAATAACAAGCAAAGGTTTAATCAAGTAAAATACTACTTGTACTACTACTACTACTACTAAAACAAATAAATAAAATGGTGGTTTTGCCATATCAATACATTGAGGCAATCACTAAATTAATAAATAAATACTTTCAAGCAACCAGCTTCATTTCTGGACCACTTGAGATGGAATGACACTCGAAAATCAAACAATAAAATTGGGATTAAAGGGGTCATATGATGCGATTTCAAGTTTTGCTTTCTCTTTGGAGTGTTACAAGCTGATTGTGCATAGATAAGATCCCTGAAGGTCTCTTTAGATATTTTTGGGAATCAAGCAGAGCCATCTCGACAGATGACATGCCATTACATGAATTACACGGCGAAGGCGGCACAGAAGCGCTTCTGAAGAGGCATTCCGGTGTCTTTACAGCTTGTTTAATGTTGTTCAGGTTGCATAATTGTGTAAAGACACCTTATGTGCACTCTGATTCACTTAGATGCTATTTAAGCAACCAGCAAGTCTGTGGGGCGGAATAAAAACAGGCTGTGCGTGATTTAGCGTCAGCTAGCTGATCTGCTAATGAAAACAGCAGAGTGGGATTTAAACTCACTTGTCCTCCAACGGTGACGTCGAAAAACACTATCGGGTTGTTAGGGTTTGAAGGCTGAACGTTCATGGCTGCTTTCGGGCTTTTATCACTCCAGACGGCAGAAATATGCGCTATGAATGTTTCTCAGTTCTCACACCACGAGCTTCACAGGACGATTCAAAAATGTGCACCCGTGACGTCACTACGGACGCCAGAAGGACTCTGTACGGATGCCACCGAGGGACAAGCGCGCCTCTGGGGCCGGTTGTTCAACAAGTTGAATCTGAATCAGAACGATCTGAATTTGGAAATCCAATGTTTTGCTGTGCAGGATCAGGTAACCCATCTTACTTTTGTGCCGGTTTTTCAAAGCAAAATTAGATTGGATCACCCTGATCCAGATACACACTTTTTCAGATTTCCAAATGGACATGGTGATGGCAAAAAATAAAATAAAAAATGAGATGGGAAAAAATGGCAATGTTTTGCATTCTAGTTTTGCATTGCATTTACACAAATAACTACTTCTGACTGGTCCACCGCCGATGATTGTGTCAATGTAGTTTACAATCAGTGATAAAAAAAACACTTTAAATTAAATATAATATTTGTGTTTGATATTGACAGCTGTTTGGGGATTTTGAGATATATTATGTTACAAATGTTGTATTTATTGGACCAGTTTTAAAGTTTTATTACATTTTTCCCCTTGAAATCCACCCTTCTGCTGGGATCAGATTCAGAATAATCCCGTTTTGTTTTTTTTTTATCAAAAGTATCCCAATCTTACTAAAAAGTTTTGAACAACACAAATTGAGGATTTAATCCAGATCAAAACCAAGATTGAATTTGGTGATCTAATCCGAATTCAGAATCCTTTTCTTCTTCTTCTTTTTTTGAAAACACATGTTCCAGATTTGATCCAATCCGATGTCCAAAATCCGATCCGATTACTTTTGAACAACTGACCTCTGGATTTATTCTCACGAAGAGACGTTTGTACGCAGAACGTAAACTCGTCTAAATCTGTTACTTCCAAAAATAGCATTCTGAAGTGTAATAATTCCAGCGTTTGGCAACGATTCCATGATGTGCCCTAGACTCATCGCAAACCAGTGTGACTGACTTAATACTGATAACAGTAACAGATGTCACTTAACAGCTTATTTATTTGCTGCCTCAGTAGTGCTCATCCATTATCCGACCCGCTTGTCCTATGCAGAGTCACATTATTTTACTGAATAAATAATGTTAATGTTTATATTATCTCTTCATGTCTTATAGTCGCATTTAACATATTGAGCTGAGCGAGACATCGTAACAAATCAGACAGAAAGGGCCTGTGCATTAATTTTAATAAAGGGCCAAATACCAGGAATTAGTAGCCTATAGCGTAACCCTAATGTATAAACGTGTGATAAAAGCTGTACTAGACGGTGCACTGTTACTGCCATCTCGTGCTCAAAAGGATGGAGCGCACATGTTTATTTGGGCCTTTATTAAAATTAATGCACATGCAGGCCCTTTCTGTTTAATTTGTTACTTGATGCCTCGTCTGAGTCCAAAGCAGCTGGATTTACAAGTTTTAGAACCATTAAGTCGTTGCCAGATTTAGGCTTTCAGAAACGTAACTGGGTTCATGGTTTACTTTTTCAGTCAATGATGAATTCCTCAATGTCTCAAAAAATTGGAAAGGTACAACCGTTTGTGTTATTCAGTCAGATCGTGTTAGTAAATAATTATGCAATTATACATTTAAGTTGTCTTTGATTACACATGCTTGTTTTCTCTTTATATTAGTTTTAAACATCTAGATCAAACTGGAAACTGAAATTCCAATCTCATTATATTTTTGCTAGAGCTGTGGCTTTATGATCACAGAAAATCCACAATGAAATACAGTAAGGCATTTGGTTGAGGCAAGTCACATTTATATCTGGGGCAGTTTGTATGCGTTTTATATAATGTTTTTATTTAATGTATACAATTTAATGTCAGCTGGCCAAATCAGTGTTTTGAAAGTTTATTATTCAAAATGCTTATCATAATTACTGTTTGTGTATTGCTGAAGAGACAGTAGTTAGATCATATTTTAAATATAGATGTGCTTTGGAAGAATGATCATTGTTAATGGGTTGTCTTACTCAAACAAGAAAACAAATAAATAAAACGTTCTTGTTATGATCATACATTTCTCATAAAATAAACAGAAAAAGTGCACTGAATGCGTGTCTTGTATATACACATCCTTTATTGAGAAGAACACATTTGAAAAGGTAAATCTAGTCCACGCTCAGTGGAAGCTCCTTCAGTGGCGACCCTGGAGTAACAGGGCTTTTGGGTTTTCCAGAAGCCTCACTGTGAACAGAAGAGAAACATGCAGAGATTTATGAGCTGGTTATCATGAAACACGAACAATTAGGCAGCATTCAAACCCCATTCATCAACAAATTACCACCGACATGTAGAAATAATACGTAGAATTAAATTATTCAAACATTAATAGAATATTTTTATAGAGTGTTATTTAATATTAGATCATGTTAAAACCCAAGCTTATATGTGCACACTTTATTAATTCAATAGTGTTAAAACTCAGATTTACATATGCGTGCATATGTATATGCATTATTTTGCCAACTGAGCAATAATATAGCATTATCATGAATATATCAAGAAATTCTGTTCCAGAACGTTCAGTTCAGCTTTCATGTTTTATGCGTACAGAAAAAGAACAAAACGCATGCTTGGAAAAACACAAACTTACTGGAATTATTACATGTATTGGGGCTATATTAACAGCAAGTAAGCAAGACCTTCATAAAACAAACCAAGTAATACAACCCACTGTCAAGAGACATAGCAACTAAAGTAATATAAAAATGTGTATTATTTTAATAGCAGATGCTATTTTACCAAAGATAAATACACAAAGGGCAAATAACACTGTTTTTACATAAGCTAGCAATTGTGTCTTAGCTGCCTATCATGGTACTTTCTATTGAAGTGGCTTGTGTAAAGAAGTGTGAAAACAAATGCACAATACACAACATTTGAAACGAATCTGTATGAAGCAAAGCCAGTCCACCTTCCAGCTGTCAGGGCCTTCTGTGAAGACATGAGCACAGTCGGTGGAACAGACTCTCTGCGTCCATCTCTCTGACAGTAGTAGTTATTCGCATATTTATGGCTCGGTCCAACGGGAAGTTTAGGTGGAGGCTGAGTCCTACCATCAATGGCATTAACAAAACAAATATGAAGCATGGATTAATGATTGCATTCAATGTCACCATAACAGTGCTTTGAAAATAAGCTCACTGCATTAAAGGGTTAGTTCACCCAAAAATAAAAATTAGTCTGTTTTACTCACCCCCGATGCATCCTAGGTGTACAGGTGCATCTCAATAAATTAGAATGTCGTGGAAAAGTTCATTTATTTCAGTAATTCAACTCAAATTGTGAAATATTGAAGTATGCTGCTGGGCAATACAACTGAACTGTCCTCAAAGAAAAAGGTCAGCCTTTATTTTGCTAGACACACAGCAAAGACAACGAAATTAATTTGTGTTACTGTAGGAGCATTACAATTGTCATTAAGACAATAAATGAATAAACTAATAACATTTTCCCTTGTACAAATGTTCAAATTACTAAACCTGTGTCAACTACCCAATATGAATAAATATAAGAAAATATGTAAGTATAACGTTGGTTCCAGTTAGTTAAGCACATTTCAATTATTTATGAGAAATATACACTTCTAGGCAAGTAGGTTATATCTAAGTTACCTCTTTGAAATTTCAGTGTACCGAAGTTGTAGTTTGGACTGGAGATCTTGCTGTTAACGAAAGAGAAAAATGAATGTAGTTATAGTAAATAAAATATTATCTAGACATGAAAACAACTGCTGATTACTAACGCAAAGACATGCACATACATGGAGATTTAAACGTTTTTCTAACCGTTGTCATATAACATGGATACGCTCGTGTCTGTGCGTCTACGACTGATAAACGATTAAAATCATTAAAACCATCATCCTCTCACCCCTGACAGCACATTCCTCAGCCTCTGGATCATTTTCGTAGCCGACGCCATACTTGTGTCAAGGTGAAATCGCAGTTTGCTGTGAATCTGTCGCGGAATCAGTTTTGACGGAACGGTCCCTCACTGTGATGAAGCTAGTGTAGATGAGTGAAGCTGATCCTGAGTCAGTTACAGCAGCAACCAAAGGACCAACGGACCGGAAGTCATTTTCTTATTCTCTGGTTCACTGACTGCTCCCATCCGCAAGAGCGACAGACGCTCGCGCCACCTTGTCGCATCAAACGCAAACGAAACAAATTTAGCTTTTTTTTTTTTTTTTTAATTGCAATTTTTAGAACAAAACATATAAGGGCAATAACATTTAAACTGAATGAAAACAAATACTTAAAATAAATAAATAAAAACTAAATAAGAAAAGCAATAAAAAAAAAAAACACGTCTGTAAACAAGTACAAATAATTACAAATTATTCAAAGAATAGATTTAAGGCTTTAAAGTAATTTACAGTTTTTTTTTGCTTTGTTATTTCTTGTTTCTTTTAACGTATACAAGTAGTGACCTATTACTATTCTGA